AATTCCCCAGCCAGCATGGCTGGCTGGGGAATTCTGGGAGTTGAAGTCCACACATCTCAAAGTGGCCAAGTTTGAGAAACATGGTTCTAAAAGGTATCTTTGGGGGCCGCTCCTACACAGTTCATCTATCTGACTTTTGAGTCTTTAGAATAGTGTTTTTCAACCTTGGCCACTTTAATCAGATGTGTGGACTTCAATTCCCAGAATTCCCCAGCCAGCATAGAGGGGCAAGGGTTGTAAGAGTATCTGGAAGGGGGATGCTGGCTGGGGAATTCTGGGAGTTGAAGTCCACACATCTTAAAGGGGCCAAGGTTGAAAACCACTGCTTTAGAGCCTATTTGCCTCTCCATCAGCTTGAACAATTCCTGCAACTTGTCGGCAGGCCTTAGGGCAGACTCGAAAGCCAGCTGGCAAGGTGGCCCTCACCCCCCTCCATCCTGCCCCTTCAAATGCCCCTCCCAATAGGCCTGGCCTGAACGGAAAGCCCCCACTGAACCCCCACTGACTGAAAAGCCGGGGTGGTGGGCTCCGCGTTGGGCCCAAAGGTCAGGCCAGAAGCCCCGTTGCACCAGAGCGGCGAGAAGCCAGCGCGAGCCAAGAGTCGGCCAGGTGAGCGAGGCCGCCGTATGTAAATAGCAGCCTGTCTTGCCGCCTCTGACTGGCTCTGGCCCGGCGCCCAGCCCGTCCCCAACAGGTTAGGCCACTTGTCCGTCACTCGCGAAGGTAGAGCCACGAACACCGCCTCCCGCCTCAGTGCACCTGCCTGCTGGGCTACCTGGAAGATCGTGCGCTTGGGCTCCCGTCACTGCTTCTCTTCAGCGGCAGCGTCGTCGTCGCCGCCGATCCACCTGGACACGCCATGGAGGGGCTGCGGGGTGGCCTGAACCTCGCCTTGCGCCTGCTGTTGCTCCTCGTCGGCTGCGGTGAGTACAGTAGTAGTAGGCGAGAGCCGTTCGGGGCGCGTTGAAAGGCAGCGGGCAGCTCCTCGCAGGGCGCCGTCCTGTTGCGTCCCGCGCACCTTGCAGTTTGGGCGCGGGCCGTTTTTGGCGTTCCCGCCCCGGTTCGGAGCTGAGTCTCGCTTGGCAGCAAGCGCTGAGGCTGAGCGGTAAGGACCGCCGCTAACCTCCCTTAGTGGGACGGGCCTTTAAAGTTTCCAGTCCTCACGGGATGGGCTTTAGGAACCGAGTTTTGCAGAGGGGGAATTAAAACAGGAGCTCCTTGCCTGGGTCAATGAAGAAATTGGTGGCTTTGATCGGAGGGCCTGGAGGCAGCCCCCAAGCTGGGCTCCATCAGCTGTTCTGCTGGGGACAGCTGAATGCAGCGATTGCTCAGGGCAGCCCTGCAGAATAACTGTGGTGATTCACCCCTGGCCATTGTATCCAGAAATATACTTCTTAAAATACAGCGGCTGCGGCTCACCAGGGGTTTCAGCTTTGAAGCTTGATCGTCCTTGTGCCTGAGGCTGCGGCTGGTTGTTCGTCTCCAAGGAAGGACTTCCTGCTCTAAGAAATCATTTTCTTAATTCTGTTTCTCGCTGTTCCAGGTTTAATTTTGATTTTTCTTTTGAAAGGTCTTCACAGTGTGCATACCCAGAGTTTCAGGCTGAAGTCTAGAGCTAAGCCAGTGTTGTCCAAACTTGGCCACTTTAAGATGAGTGGACTTCAACTCCCAGAATTCCCCAG